CGTAAGAGCGATAGCATTTCGCGGCAACGCATGAGCAGTGGCGTTCCTATTTAATTGGCTTATCCAATTAATTTTGAGCTCTCTGATTGGTTAAAGCTTTTTTTCCCCGAATTTTGTCTGATTTCTTTATAGTTTTTCCGATAATGACGTATGATCTATTGTTTCCCGAAGTTTCGTGAGATTCCGACGTGGGGAAATCATCCGCGCGGATAGGCTTCTCCACGAGCACAGAGTTGAAAGCGCCGCCATCTTTGATTTGTCACTGTCAAGTTCTTCTCTGCGTTTTCGGGTTAAAAACGTTTCGCTGGTGTATATAGCTTGCCTGTAGCTTGTATATAGTGTGTATATTTTCATGAAAAGCGTTTTCTTTGGATTTAAAATGTAGTAAGTGTTTTATTCGTTTGCTTTTAACGCGTTTGTGAGATGTCCTTTACCGCTTCTTGCAAGTGCGAAAAACATCTGGAATGGCATCACAGGTCCGACGTTGGCCTTCGCGTGGCAACCTTTTATGAAGAAAAGTATTGCATCGTTGATTCGAAGCATGCAGGAAGAAAGAGAAAGATCTGTTTGGCCTGCCGTGATCGCATAGCAGTCGAAGAAAAGTGTCGAAAGCTTGGGGATCTGAATACAAACGCAAACGGTTCAACCTCTCTTGTAATGGTGAGTCATATTCACTTTCTTCTTTGTTGTGATATTCTCTACGTAAAACGCATTTGAAAGTGCTAGGCGTCTTATGCTTCTGATCAGATATGTGTATCCCGTTTGCTAACGTGAGAGTGAACTGTTTGTCATGATTGTTTGCTTGCTTTCTCACACATGTATCTTACACGTGTCTTCGTTTTTGCCCCCTTCATAGGATAAACTTACTTCAGAGTCAGACTCAGTGGACAAAACATCACATGTGACCCCACTGGTAAATGTTATGGTTTTATTTGTTGTTGAGGAAATCAATACCTATTTTTATTATTATTATTATTATTATTATTATTTATTTTATTTTTTTTTTGGCTCTTGCTTTGCCCAATGTATAGCATTTCAAATCTGACATAGTCCCGAATGCAACTTGTAAGTTTTTACACAGTGCTGGAAATAAGCTAGGAAACTTGAGCTTCATATTTGATTTTTTTTACAGTGTGAACATTTTTTTTTTTATTTTGTTTTTATTTTATTTTTTGTTTTGTCTCTGATTTGTTGAGAAAGAGGTGCAAGCTTTTTTATGCCAATCTTTATGGCTGGACGCACTTAGTGTAGCTACCCAACAAACTTTTTTCACAAGTTAGTTAGCTCTGTATTGTACTGAAACACCACAACTTTCTTTACAAATGAGATCAACAGTTTCGTGGTGATGTTTTTAACATTGAAAGGAGGCTGTGTTACCATTCAAAGAAATTCTTGTTCTCTGGTTGGCTATTAAACTTGTGAAAAAACTTTGTTGGGTGGCTACATTAAGGTACGCTGTAAGCAAAGGAATGAAAAACTTAAGTAAATGCAAATTACTTTCCACCCTCCAGGGAACATTACTTCACTGGGAATTGTCCAACTTGTTAAGATTATTTGTGCAATATCGATTAAAATTAAAAGTGCAATTTTATTCCCAGACAAAGATGTGCTATAAAGTCTCCAATGAAATGGTTTTTATACACATTTGCATGTCTGTATATTTTTTCCATATGTAGCAGTGTTTTGCACCATGATACAACTTCCCTTCAGGTTTCAATAAGACAGCAACATAAAACTATTTATATGCTTCTTTTAACTAACAATTTCATTTAATTGTCTATTTCTTGAGATCTCTTATTTGATGCCTTATATTAAATATAATTTAAAATAGCAGTAGCAACTGCAGTAAACAAGGACACTAGCTTCATAGAGCTTCGTAGATTAGGTTAAATAATACTGTGGTATTCTGTGGTAATTGCAGTAGTTAAAATGCTTATGTACATTTATCATTTAAAATATTTATATAATACCAATGATGAAGTGCTGCATAACATTATTATACACCAGGGTGCTACTATGGTCCTGTGCAGACAACTACATCTTCTTATTTTTGTACATTGCCTACTGGCTATCAAAATAATCATGCCTTACATGTAAATGCCAATTCTCTAAAAGAATAGTTAAATGCCAAACCAGTTAGTGGCAATTTCCCTAAATGAGAGAAATGGTTTTGATTGTGTGATACTATACCCCTAGGCCCTACATGGTGTAAAGGAAATTGGTTTTCTATACTACTGCAGTTTTCTGTTGTCACAAGATGTGTTAACATTTTTGACCTACAAAAATTAAGCAAATCCATAATGGCACATCTTGATGTGAATTATGTGAAAGCACTGAATGATGTGGATGGAACTTATTTTATGGAGCAGACTAAACTAGGCTTCTTGTAAATGATTCATGATTTACTAATTTGAAGATAAATCCTCGGTAAAAGGTTTTCAGAAAAGTATATTATAGAACCAATGCAGTATTGGTAAATAGTATTGTATTGTGTTCTTGTGTTTGTGCCATTTCATGTTATTGTATCGTGTGACTTACATTGCACTTGTTGATTTACAGGTATGATAAAGCTCTCCTCATGATCAGCTATAAATTAGGACTTAAAGTATATCGCTACTGCCTGCATCACCATAGCTACAGGAATAATTATTACATTTTGAAAAAAACAACAACCAACATTTCTGCACATGTCAGCTGGTTACAGTATATTTGAATCATAAAATATTTTAGTGCAATATGCATTAAGTCTCCATTTATTATGGAAGCTTGGCAACTTTTCGATTTTCAATATAGAAACTATTCTTCTGTAGAAATGACAATTGCATCTGATCTGTTTCTGTGTTTAGGTTTCCTGAAATTTGTCAGAGTGGAGTTGCTTTGAAGCCACTGGCTCTTTACTACCAGTGCCAAGCAATCACATGTATTTTGTGTAGTTGCATAAGACCTTTCAAGCCTGTTGACCACTGGGTGTATACTTTCTGAGCAGTGTTCAGCTTCCACGCCCATAGTGTGCTTGCAAATGGCTTTCTTAGGGACATGGAAAGTTAACACATGAAACTTTCGAAGCAAGTTGGTGTTTGGAAAGTCTATAGGAAACCAGTGACCAAAGCTAGCACATCGGACCACAAGGAAGGCTACCTCATGGTGACAGAGAGGAGTACTGGGTGAGTACAGCTGGAGACAGTGTGAAAGTTTTGTCAAAAATGTTGACACCTTGTTTATGCTTCTTTGATCACTGAAAACTTTATGTTCTCCATTTTGAAGATTCACTCTGAGTGGTTTTAAACAATTTACAATTTTTCCCACGTTTTCAGGGTGGAGAATTTTGGCAACATCATTACCAACCAGAGCCCCTTTATGATACACTTGCCTCTTTAAATTCATCCTTTCTAGTACACCATCCAATCTCCTTTGGAAAGGCCCTTTCAAATTATGTATTTTGGCAACTATGGTAGTCAATTGCTCCTTGGCTGCTTTCAACTGGTCTTGATGTTGTTTTGCCTGGTGTTGTTGTTCATCCCTGCCCTTTTTAAACTCTTGTGCTGTTTCTCTTGCTTTACAGCTTCCACTGTGACCTACACAACCCAGTTCATGTTAGTGTGGTGAAATCTGGTTTAGGTGATGGAAGAGCATGTTAAATTTAAACGGCAAAGGTGTTGCCCTGGTGGTGGAACAAGTGAAAAAGACTGTCACTGTTGTAGAAGTAGAGCGGAAGATCACTTCAAAGCCTTCCAACCTTAAAACAAAGAAGTCACTCCAGGATCCACTCCAGTGCAGAGGACTGCCACATCAAGGTACTAAACTGGAGCTTAAAGAACAACTTCAAACTTCTCTTGCATAACTGAGGGAGGACTATGAAAAGTCAGGGAAAGTATCTACTGCTGTAAACATGGACAAGAAGGTGACTGCAGACAGCATTTGTCTTGTATTTGTTGATACGATAACAATGGCGTCGAACAGTGACTCTTGTTTGTAACTTGTGGATCTAACACTGAACGGTGTTGGGATCACTGGAGCTGTCAAGGAATTTTCCTGATATCCCAGTGACTGCAAGTCCATGTATGCCATGTTGATTTCTAATCGAACACTTGTCATTTTGAATGACAAGGGCATAGCTAAGATTGATATGGCAACACGAGAACAGACCATTCTACTGTCAAATGGCACTCCCTCTTGTAAAGAAGTACGAGGCATTGCTCCTTTCGGGGATTAGGGAGAGACTCTTTACAGATATGGGGAGAAGGCAGATAAAGAAGGTTTCTTCAAATGGGACCATTCAAATCATTGCAGGCTCAGGAGAGGAAGGCAACAACGATGGCACTCGGGCCTCATTTTCCCAGCCTATGGGTATTTGCGTGGAGAATGAGAAGAATATTTTTATCACTGATGCACAGGTTGGAGCAGTAAAGTTAATAGCAGATGTTGGATGTGTAGTGAAATTTCTGGAAAACCTTGGAAAACTGTACCAATCTTTCTCCGTGCACCAGAAGCACCAGCGAACTCACACCTCAACACTGCAAGAAGCTAGAGAGATGATGAAATTCGTTTCTGGGTACCTTCAAGGCACTGTTCAATCAGTGCAGACATTACTGGGCAACAGCAAGGAGACCAATGGACCTGAAGGAACTGTTGCAAGCAAGACAACCAGGTCTGTTAACATGATAAATCAGGGACTGGCAAGGTTACAGAGCAACATCACAAAAATAAATCCAGCACTTACAGTTAACCCTGAAGCTCTCCTCACCACAAAAGTCAAGAACCTCCACGCAGTTTCCCATTTCAAACATCCAACATGTATGCAGTTACACTACGCCAGGGATTTTGGGACTACAGCCCTGTAATCAGCAAAAAGAATGATGCAGTGGTCCGCTTTTTACTTCACACACTCAACATCGTATTATCCTGTACCCTCGACACAAATTTACCTTCAAGATTTTCCAAGGATGATGCAACAAAACCTGCCAGTCATGAGTTCAGCTGACCAAGATCTGATGAGAAACTGGGCAAACACACATGGTAAGTGTGTTAGACAACGCACTGTCTGACAAGAAATCACCAAGTATAAGGCTGGTACTCTCCCTCTGAACCTGTATCAGACTGCTGTCCACCAGGGAGAACGGCTTGAGTTTGCACCAGTTGAAAGAGTAGAACAACCTAAATTTTCAAAGCAAGAGGGAAGAGAAGGCGCACCTACATTGAGGGACCCAGGAGATGATCAGCTCTCCGAATACGATGACCACTCCTCCGACAACGACTCTGATGATTTTGCAGTGGAGGAAGATGGTGCCATTTGTGATATGCAGAACGAGGAACTCAGTTTCCTTTTTGTATCGTGCAGAATGCGAAGTGGACGGATAGTGAAAACAATTAACAAGGCTTTGCTTTGGACATAATTTTTCAAAATGTAACAGTATGTAACTTTTGTTTAAAGAAAAACGTTCTTCTTTTTTCCGTGAAGCGTGAAATGCCTGTTTAATTTTTTGTGAATTGTGAAAAGACCATTTTATTTTCCGTGAAATGTGATCTAGACCCCCCCCCCCC